ATTGATTGGACATGCTGAATGATGAAACAGTTCATATGAACGTATCTTGTCTTTACTGAATTCATTATAAAGTTTTTATATTCACAATGAAAATATTCAGATTAACTTATGAATCATAAATCATGTATTATCAATAGATTGCTAACTTTATTTCACTGAAAATCTTATGTAACAAAGGAAAATGTACAAATCTGTCGTAGGCGTGTTAATCCAATCAGCTTATTATCTTGCAACACAAATGTTTGATGTGCATCGTTTCCGGATTTCCCGTAAATACTGTCGATCATTACAGTCTCTGCGATCTAGAAGCAAAATTAGTTAATCGCGTTTAAACACAAAGATCGTAAATTATATAACGACTGTACATTCTGAAACCATTATCTAAATATGAACTATCAGTCACTAACTTTTTATGATATATAATACTCTTAGAGCAGTTAATTTGCAGGTACTCAGATGATCTATGATTTTTTAAAATAAATGTGTTGATGCTGAGAAAAACCTGCCTTCTTCCAGGACACATTTTAATACTGTTCTTTTATATATGCCAATGATTTCCAAGTGGGATCTTTCCATGAGATTCTTCAATCAAAATTATGAACATGTTTCTTGAACATTATTTTTCCAATCCGTTTAGTATTACATGGTTTCCTCACGCAAAGAGTGTTGGGTGGTTAATAGTACAAATTTTCAGTCCCTGATAAAAGGTGATATTTATTTCATCTTGAATATAGACAGAAGTTGTGAATGTTTGCAATAATATGCCACAGATTTTTAACAAGGGCCTTACCTTCATGTGGTCTTTACAAAACCTGAAGAATAAAATTTATAGAACAATTTCTCTGCACCAAGATAGAAAAAGTATGATAAGAATGGGAATGTGTTGCTTCATAACTTTTCCATAATCCTGTCAGGGTAATTAAATCTGGAAAATTCAGATTGGCAGGCCATACAAATATATACAGAAAGACGGAATTCATACAAAATTGTATTTATAAGATTTGATGGGAAAAGACCGGCTGGTCGTATTTATTTGTATGGATACTTTCTTGAAAGTGATGTTAATTAATCTTCTGGTGCCATAATAGAAAATTTCTTATACAGTTGCATAACGTTTTATGTAGATATTATCTAATGCTTAATCAAAAAATTAGCAAATGATTTCCTTAAATCACTTCATTATCTCTATATTACAGCATTTATGTATGTCTCAATAGCATATTTATCTTAAATTCATACCTCCCAGAAATGAGTAATGATAGATATGTTTCTGAGGTTTCTTTCTTCAGTACCATCTTGAAACGTAGTATTCACAATCGAATCACTAAGATTGTTTTTGCGCCAATAAACCTTGTTGGTATTATATCCAAATGTTCCTGAAAAAACAAAGTGATATTTTCAAAAAATATAAACAATTCCAGTGGGTAGAACTTAGATCACAGGAGAAGACAGGGAAATTAAGAGAATCCTGTTATTTAAGCAATTACAGACTTTTATCTGAGTGTAAATAAAATTATGACTTTTTCACTTTATCAGTTGAAATACATGCACTGAATCTTTTTCATAATTCAAAGCTGTGGCATGACCGAATATTTACCAGGAATTTACATTTCTCAAAGAAGGCTTATAGAAAATGGTGTAAAATACCCCTAATATTGTCAGGGTGATTAAGTCGAGAAAAATAAGATGGGCGGGGCATGTAGCGCGCATGGATTGGACAAGAGGTGTGCACCGGGTATTTGTTACGAAGCCTGAGGGGAAGATACCACTGGGGAGACCTAGACGTAGATGGGAGGATAATATCAGGCAGAATCTATGGGAGATAGGAGTTGAAGGAGACTGGATTTTGTTGGCCCAGGACAGGGTCCGATGGAGGGCTTTGGTTAATTCGGTGATGAACCTTCGATTTAATTAAGCTATCTAGTTAGTTATGTATTCCTTATTGGACTAAAGTTTTCCTTTCCTGTTAAATACACATACTTATAAAGCAGAGGTCACAAGGTGCTAATGTTACATAATGAGAGTGGGTAAATGATCCCATTTTTTCATAATAACATAATTATGAAAATAGGACTTGACTATATAGACCAAGCGGTTCAAACTCAAAGGCTAACACAGGCCAAATAAACAATGTTTAAGTTTATGTGGCCCCCCCCCCAAAAAAAAAAAAATTCATTTTTCATAGAAACGTAGGTTTATTTCGAAAAGTATGGTATAGAAAAAGGAACAGGAACAACGATAACATTAATGTTTTCTTCCTGACACGTGGCATCTCTTCTCTCAAGTCAGTACAAGACTAATGACGTGGCACTGGCACGTGGTAGTAGGTATATAATCGGCTGCTAGTATTAGTGGGTGGAAATGGTGCGCCTGCGCGTAAGGAAAAGGGTTGCAACACGATTATAGCAATCAGTCATTGGCGATCGTTGTAGTTCGTTATTAATAATTATGTATAACAGGATATTGTAAAAATTAAGTTACGAAATTTTTATTGAAACCTTTCTTACATACCGTTATATTGGCTGGGCCGCAAAAATATTCGTTGTGGGCCGCGAATATGACATGGTTGATGTAGACAACCCTCTTGGTTGCAGTAGCTTGTCTGAGCGTTAGTTACACTGTACTCCTGGTAATAAGACGTTAGTCAAAATTTACTTACCTATTATCACTATCAAGTAGATGGTAAGGAACATGATGAATCTTCCGAAACTGTTGATGGTTCTTATACATGTAGATACTTTCTGCTTCATTCCTACAATACAAAGAACATTTTATCAGTACTGAGAATTATTATGTTCATATTAATCGGGCCTGCTGTACTGTGTCGGATAAAAAATGTATAAGACATGCCTTGATTTCATTTGTGTTTGGCATTTGGTGTTAAAAAAAACGTATGTTCTTGAGGTTTCCGAAAGACCGATCCCTGGCCCAAGGAGTCCTAGTGACTGTCTATAGATCAAAGCCAACGTAATGTTTGAATCCCCAGTGCCCAGGCACTTGAAGAACGTGTCGTATAATTATCAAAGTATGTTCTTGAGGTACAATGTTAATCACTGCTGTCTAGTCGGAACTAAACCCTCCGATTCCTTCATAAAAGCTAAATATATGTTAGTAAGGGTAAACCTACTAAAATGGTAAATTGTACCATAAGAGATATCACCATCACGTGAATCATCAGGCTATTTTTCAGGCTTAAAACTTACATTTAAATATAAGTCTAATGGTTATTGAAGAAATCGGTTGATTTCTAGACAGTTTTTATTCTTAAAGTACTAGAGCCAAAGTTACAAAGCATTATTCCCACACCACGTGGTTTAACGAGTCATTGAACCTCCCTGAATACAAAGAATTTTCAACAATAAGCAATTGCAAACTAACTTACCTTTCAAATAATCCTTTAGTCTTTTATAAGAAGTTTCTGATGAGTGGCCTTCTGTACTAACAGTGTCTGGCGGGTTGCTTCCTTGGTCAACTGGATAGTTCATTTGACATATAATTAGTGCAGAGAAACGCTCCATACCATGAAATTGAATGTCTTCAGCAGCAGGTTCTTGTTCTCTCACATTATAATTCGTTGTACTCGAAATCATTTTTCTATTAATCTAGACTTTGCACGTTTATGACTCTTGGGACTGCAACAAAACAAATATTTGTCGTTTATTTATTATGCCTAGCAACGGGTCGCATTATCAACAATGGGCAAGACCAACAATACGAGTTGTAGCTTGCCTCAGTGATTAGCTGTTATTGTCACACGTGACCATGAAAGAACAAATCATATTTTACAATATCATCCAAGATATGAAGAACCTTACGATCATGAAACGAGAACCCCCCTTCACTTCACCTCATTTATCACTTTTCTAACCTTCTTCCTAAAAG